GTTTTTCAATATCGTTGATTACAACGAGATGAAGCAGATTTTGTGAATGAAAGATCATGTTAATGATGGTTTATATATATTATAGGCTTCTTTGTGAGCTAAGAAAGCAGACATTTGTCAAGGTGTGCCGTCTAGAGAAGATTTTCTTGTCGACTAAACACCAGGGGCGATCATGCACGGCGTGCAGAGTGTGCACCAGGTGCAGACTATCTAAGGAAAAGCTTTCATTTATTACCCCAAATTTGCCCCTGTGGGCTATCCATCAGGTGCGGACTATAGTCCAGAAAATATGGTACATGATATGCACGGAAAGAGAGAGAGATAATAAATTATATTTTTTTAAATAATCCCATATGCAACACCTTACTCCAAAAGAAATACATATATATGCATGCAGTGATATTCCTAATTACACATAGATATCACAAAGGACAGACAAAGACTTTTAGAATCCTAAAATAAGTCACATTTGTGCACCAGCTTGCATGAGCTCGAAACTTCACTAACTACTGCCTCGGGAGACTAATGTTATATTCAGTCTTATGTGCACTTGTTTTGGGCCCTCACTTTACAACTCTGTGCTCTATCAGTCATCGGTTCTAACATTTCATTAGGCTGCCGTATATCATAGTCAGACTTCTATATACACTGCACAACTTTACAATTTGGACATCTATCGCTAGTGTTGCAATCATTGCATTTCACCCGAAAGCTGAACTGTTTAACATGGTTTGCATGTGACGTCATGCACTATATGTGGTGGCTACTGCAATTTGTTCTTGCTGAGAAAATCAAATCCGGTGGTGCAAAATACATGCTGCAGAAGGTTGGCGCCCAGTGCAAGCCATGCATTTTGAGAGACACAAAGTCTTCTTGGTGCAGTGTCGTGAGGAACGGCATACTCGTCTGGGCACCCTGAAAACGCGCTTTCTGTAAAGTGTTTTTCCAAACAAAGTAGTTTCCGGGGCCACACTTTCTCGTCTATGCCGAAGGACCAGGGCAGAGGAACTTTTACAACATAGTATGTTTTTAAACCTACCCCCCGGACCCCCCCCCCCTATTTTGTCCCCCCTCTTTTTTCATTGCTCCTCTAGATAATATGTTTTGTTCTTGAGGGAATCCTTCCTCTGTTTGGGGGTGTTAATTCGACAATTGTATTTGTGCCACTTGTTAAAAGTAATCATCATTAGTTTTTAGTTTGCACCCAACAGTGAAGTTTAAACAAAATACAGAGGTAGTTGAAACTTGGGGAATGATGCTCCCGTGGGAGTTAGAGCAACTGCTAACATTCAGCTGCCCTTCTGAGGCCACTAGGATCTTCCTTCTGAGATATCCCTCCCATACACACTTATACCGCGTGTAAACTGACGCTTCAATTCCACTTCAGACAGTCCGCAAAAATCGGTCTGATGCTAACTATATACTGTCAGTGTTCATCATAGTTATGCGCTGGGTTGGGGGACCATAGGGCATGGGCTGAGCTTCAGATGATGTTAAAGTTGGGCTATTATCACTTTGAATTGAACACGAGCCGTTACCCGAATGTTTGGCGATGCATGAAAATCGCGTACGTCGCATTGTCACGTGACTCTTGGTGCAAAGTAGTGATGTGATGTTGCATCACGGTGTCAGCAACATTAATAAATCTGCCGTAAAATCCCGAGAGATGCCCCACCCTTGAAAGATAACCCGCCCCCTGTTTTCGACATGATTTGCTATTTTTTTTTTAAAACTCCGAAAGATAGCCCATTTCTGGTAGTTGCAGGGCCCTGGTCAATGGTGACCTTAGCAGAAATGGTGTTACTTAGCCACTGTGGGAGATAAGCGAACATTGTTCACTGGAAAGGATAGTCATCTTTAGTTCATCGCTCCTCCCTGCGATTACAAGTTTCGCAGGTCATAGAACCTAAAACGAGCATCTTTTCAACTTGTTTTGATTGCACACCGAAAGGTTGCCCTATACTTATTTTCAACCGATTTGATTTAGATTTTTGGTTGGCTCTCTCTCGGGATATTATGGTAGTGACGTTCTCAATTTAAATTGACTTGATGATCACAGTGAATCTTGCGACATCATGTGGTTACGTGATGTGGCATTACTTGACAGCATGTGACTATGTGACAGATGATTGACCATAGTGCCAATATAGGTACTCGGGCCACTTCCGGCCGCCATGACAGGGAGCCGAGAACACTTCTGGTTCGGGTTTTGTTTGCATGCTTTTAAAGGGCAACATCACCGTTATGTTTTGTGTGTTCTGCAATTAAATCGCAGCTATGTTTTGTGTTTCTCACATCCACTGGCTTCTTGGACTGCTGCAATGCTTTGCAGTTGACTGGGCAACTTTGCTGTGGCAGATTTCTGTGAAATACAAGATGCCGCGGCCGTCAAGCACGAACAGTCCCTGGCACAAACAGTCCCTGGCACAAACAGTCCCTGGCACAAACAGTCCCTGGCACAAACAGTCCCTGTCATGCGTGCGTCGAAATCAAAGAGGCACACATCCGACTTTTTTGGACAGCAAAAATACTTGATTGAACGAATCACACTTGAGTTCTTATGTAACTAAGGATTGATTGAAAGGTTACTTAATATTCGCCCAAATATAACTTTTTATTTTAGCAATGCAGGTTTTCATTAAACAGACCAACTTGGTACTGCATGAAATATTTAGTACATAAAATAATAATTTTATCATCTTTTTTTATATCTTATAGCGGAATTACTTGCCAACATTAATTTTTGTGTGCACGCAAGCTTGTGAACAGACGGTTTATGTGAGACTTCTGAACAAACTCCAACAAAAACCCACAAACAAAACAACAACAAAACCCATACATTTTGAAAGTTTGTTCAGCAGAGGACTTCAGAATGGGAGTGATCTTTTCACATGGAACCAAACCTGGGGTTCGGTTTCACGTCAATTTCAAAATATGATAGCCAGAATTATTTTTTTTTTCAACACGCAATTAAGCGTTTGTTTGTGACACAATGAAAGCAAGACATGAAGCACAAACCACTGGTACCATCCTTTGCGCCTGGGTTCTAGGATCCAAAATAGCCTTTTGACGTCTGTGTCTACACCTGTATCCACGTGAATATCATTCGCGTGAACGCCGCTGTAGGTCGGTCAACGTCGACCTACCGCGGTGATACTTGTCGTCGAAAAAGCACCGCTCGCTTTTTCCCGGGCACGATTGAGCACGAGCGGCACAATCCTTCGCACCCTCCTTCAACTACGTCCGACAAGCACAGCGTAGTTTCGCTTTGGCCAGCTCATACACTCACAATGGCAGCGCGGCACAGTTGATGAAGTGATGTTCTCACACTTCGTTGAATGTCTCATGTCTACAGAAGTTTCCACTGGACCGTCACATAGGGCCGCGGAGGCCGAATAAAACAAGATGCGGTGCGTTTTCTTGGTGCTGTATGGTCCAGAAACACACTGCAATCTATCTTACGTCAAGTTTGCAGCGTACCTTTTTTTTTTTTTTTCCATCAAGAAAAACTTAAAAAGACGCGCTGCTCATCTTTGCTTATTGAAATATATACTAAAAGCTAGTCAACCACGTTATCTAGGCCACAGGAAGTTCTGTCATTTCTTGTTTATGTTGACCGTGAAATACCATGTATAAAAATGCCAAGAAAACCCAGAATTTCTCATACATTTCAATTCTGTATATGACGATTTGATCAATACATAAAAATACAGCTGCCTTCTTTGAATTCCCAGGTATTCATTTTGTAGTACTAACAATAAAGAAGGAAAAAAAAAAAGTGTGTTGAACCTTTTTGAATTGGTTACCAGTATTCTTTTTTTCCGGTTTAGCTAAAAATAACGGCTCGGTTCCCGATCGTCACCCTGGTGCTTATGACTAATTCCTTTTTTTTTTTTTAATCTTGCCGTTGCATTTTGGAACCTCGCCCTCCCCATATTTCTCATATATTTCGCATATAAAAAGTTCTCATGCACGGGCACACATTAAGAATACCTGCTTTCTTGGTGCACGAAGAATATTTCATCAATCACATAATCTGTCATTCACAAAATCAGTTGTTATCTCCACAGAAGCTCATGGAGGCAATAAATGTGCTCGGCAAGCAAAACGAAACACTGCCTAAAAATAACCCCAGCTGGTTCAACCAGCTACCACAATCAAAACTAAAATCCAATGAATGAATGTCATCTGTTCATTGCATAAGCACGAGAATCGAGAATAAGATGATGTTTTTGGTGTCCTCGTCGGCGTGCGACGAAGACACCACCATGCCTGGTGCGATCGCTCATTCTGGAGCTTTAGTCACGTGAAAAATCACTTCTCGCAGAAAAGCTAAAACCGAAACCGAAGCTCAAAGTAGAGTTCCTCCGAAACATCCTAGATGGCCCCACATTTTTAAAAACGGCGTTGAACGCATTGAGTGAGGGGTTTGAAATCTGTCTATGAAATTGAACGTTTTGAGATAGTTGTTCACAACTTAAAACAGTCTTACTGGCATTGACAAAAGCAACTACATAGAATTACCTCAATGTGTTTCAAATCATGTAGATCACTCAAGAAAGATGAGGGAAATTTTTTGTTGAACAGATTATAAGAAATTTCCCTTTTCCACGTGCAATTACTGAATGGAATTTGTTGCCCAAGTCTGTTTATATTCATCACGACGTGGGACCACCTATATCAGGAACTGGCCTTGATTTTTAATGTTATTTTTGCTCAGTGTTTATGTATTTTCGTTATTGACAGTCGCTGCTGTATATTCCAGTACCCTATTTGTTTTTGCTCTTGAGCATTTCTTATATATGGGCTGTACCTGTTATAATGCCCAAGCTTCGGCTCTGCAGGTTTTTTTTTTTTTCAGTAAATAAATAAAATGAATAGGCACAGTGCAGTAAGGAATGTAGCGTTTGCTATAGTGTGGAAAATATGGTATCCCTTTTTCAGCTTGAAAGTTTGCACCGTGGTGTCAATTGTAACCATGCTCTGTTTGTGCCCCACAGCTGTCCGGAGTTGACATCTCGATACCACTACAGCATACCCATCGTGCAGGGGTTTGTGACGTTTTTTGTACTTGTCAACTTCTCACTGGCCACATTCATGGACCCCGGCATCATCCCAAAAGGTAAGCACACATGCACAAACTTTGCAGCCTGTGGAACATTTCAAACATTTTTAGTGGAAGACAGTAGATATTGGTTGAGACTATGAGCCGAAGCCAATCCAAGTTGTGCTGGAAATGGAAATGTCACATTGTTAGTTTCGGTTGTACAGGCAGATGCATGGTTCAAAGGACTTGGTAAGTGTTCGCATTACCGTAGAATACTGCACATCTGCCCAGTCCACATTAAGCGCCCATTACCAAATTTGTAAGATCTGAGGAAATATGCGCAGTACACTTATATGTAAAATTGATGACCGGACAAGCGCCCATCTCCCATTCTCGCGATTATTTCTAAATTTCGAGTGGCCGCTTGCCCGGTATTTTACGGTATGTCTTTTAGGGCCCTATTACTTGAAATCCAAGCATTGTTCTTGTGTGTGGTCCGCTTCCCAATGTAGAGCATGTTCAGGGTCAGAGTTCCGACAAGAGCATCGCATATTTGAGGAGGAGGAAGTGGCAAAGCGTTGTGAGGCGTGTTTCGTTCATGCCGAGAGCCTGTGAACTAATTGAAAAGGACATCTCTCCAAGGTTGCACCCCTGCGACCTGGCGGGGACCAAGCTCATTCTGCTTAAAGGGCCCATGAAACGATTTTTGGGTTGGGAGAAATCATTTTAGATTGGGATTTTACTAATAACACATCGTTCAGTGGGCCAAAAGAAAAAGGTAGAAAGTCAAAAGCCTGACTTTCAGTGCGAAAATTTTAAAACACAGCGGACTATTTCGTACCTCCTCCCCTTCGTAACCTCTCTGCCTTTTCACTGTGATACATCCGCGGTCTCAAAAGCGCGTCATCGGGTCCAAACTGACGTCACACGAAACCGGACCTCATTTAGTCCCCTCACCCCTAAGCTGACATTGTGGTGGAAGCTACACGCTTGCCGGACCAATCAGCCGCCTCCGTTTCATCACCTGACTTCATTCTCTGCAGCCACATTTGCCACGCTCACGTGGCAAAAGTGTGGCTAGCCAAGGAGCACGAAGCTTCCACAGCACTGTCAGCTTAGGGGTGAACAAGGTAGGGAAAGAAACTTTTGTCCGAGTTTTGAGCGACGGGCTAATCTTCTAGGGGGACAATGGCTCTCTCCGAGCGAGGGGGGCCTCGCTTTTTTTCGTCTTCTTGAACTGTTTGTTGGAATGCGCGATTTATGAGTTGAGGAGGAAAGCGAAACAGGAAAAAGTTTGAAAAGCGTTTCATGACCCCTTTAAAGGGGACCTGCGGAGCTTTCTGCGATTGTCTGTTTATGTTGTTATATTGCGTAGTAGGTGCAACCTAATATGTATACAAAGTTTTAGATTACAAAACCGTTTATTAAGCAGATCGCAGAAGAAATATATCGGGACTATTTTCTCTTGGAAGACAATCCCCCATTCCCTGCCCATCGCTAAAACTTGACCAATGGAAATGCTGCATCCCGCGGTGAATGCGAACGTTATTATTGCAACACTTTTTAAGCTTGTTGTAAATTAGAGTTCGAGAAAAATGTAAACTGATTGTGGTATGGGAAACATAGTCCGCAATTATCGCTGCAAAACCAGCGAACTATGTTTTCTCCCCGCAAGGTTGTTGCTAGGGGGTGATGCGTCGGCGCGTCGGCTCGTCTGCTTCTCGGGCTGTCTGCAGGTGTGCGTTTGCGGGACACGTGTTCCTTCTTCCCGTGGATCCCGACTCCGAAGCCAGCTTTGCGATCCTTCCACGTCAACAAGTCAATATTTTCCTTGTCATCTGTGGAATGCGACTGCGTATTGCAGTAGCAGCGCGACGGTGCGGTGCAGCGAACGAAGACTGCCGAGCACAAAGTCCGGGCTCCTTGACGACGGTCCGCGCGTGTTGGAGAGATCCCTCCGCGGGTCGGCGGTTGGGCACGTTGGTGACGCGCAGTGACGCCGGAATTCTTCGCTTGCTATTGGCTGACACGTAAAGAGATGCCCCTCCCGTTTTCCGGGGTCATCTTAGAAAGGGGGGCGTGCCGGGGACTTTGATAGCAATTTTAATAGGGAAATCCGCCGCGCATGACCGTAATTTTATGATTTTTAGGATCCTTAGGGCCTGTAGATTGAGTTACCGCCGTAAATAGACCATCGCAGAACGCTCCGGAGGGCCCCTTTAACTTTAATTGTTTCATGTTCCCACCTTCCTGCAATGCTCTCATTGCAAATTCGGGTTTGAACTCATTTTTACATCAAAATGAGGTATGTACAGCAGGGGAGCTGTACTGTTTTTTACACTCTGTAGGATAGGTTGTCTTATGCGATTCACATACATCCCAAAATTATCGCAGTTCGGCACGAGAGACAAAGCCCCTGCTTGCCGCCTATGCTTTCAGCTCCCTATAAATAGTGCAATAAAACAATCCCCTGCAAGTAAACCCTATGCCCGGCAAAGGAGATAACAAATTGTTAATGTTGCAAATTTGCCGTGCCCTTGAACCTCGCTCATATTATTGTGGGTACCTCATTCGATGCAGGAGGTACAGTCCCAAACTAAAGAAACGCGAACGACGGGGCGACAGCTTCTCGCCCTTGTTGCATCACTCGACGGTCATCAGTAAAAGCTCTCGTAGAGCCTGTGCTTTGAGAGTAGTGACGGTGTCAGAAGGTTGGCCCTTTCGGTAGATGAAATATGCGCCCATTTGCTTCGGTCTTCGACCACATTTGGTGCTAATCGCGAAGTCGACAATGCGGCACTCGCGTTTCAAATACCTTGCATTGACACAGAAAAAAACCGAGATTAGCCTTGGCTTGATATTACTGTTATATTGCAATTTGCGTAGCGATGTGCGAACGATAAACGGTTATTTTAGTGTCATCACGGGACATCCAGAATGCCCGTGCCGCATTGTCAACACGGCAAAGGTGCGGCGATCGACGCCGCATGTTGCAGTAAAATGCACCAAATCGGCGAAAATCCTACTAACTGATAGGGTTGGTCCTTTGGCGTCATCACTACTTTTAAAACGCATCGCAGGCTGCGAGAGATCTTCCGCTGATGAGCGTTCGGTAGTGTGGCGAGCGCAAGAGGCTGTCGCTTTATTGTTTTTTTGTTTTGGACTCTATAGTCTCCTCTGATATGAAGGGGCCACTCTGAGCACATGGCCAAGTTGGTGGATGAAGGGGGGCGCTGCTCGCGCTTTGGCTAATCCTATGTTGCTCCGAGGGAAGGGAAAGTGCTCTGTCAGTGCACACCGCTTCAGTTTGGCTGCATTATCAAGTTTCGTTCCACTCTGAGAGCCGTGGAACTGTCCACAACACACGCTGCACCCTCCAGCCACTGTCTCGGCCACGTGCTCGAGTGGGTTTTTCGTATTGGTGAAGACTGTGCCTAATTGTGTAGAAACAACTGTAACGAAAACATATTGTGGTTACCAGAAGGATACCAGAGTGAATATTTTTTTTTCCCAGATAAGTGCACCGTATGGACCTGTGCACTGTGCAGAGGTAAAATGCACATAATATAAAAGCGTTAGAAAAGGGGAACCATCAACAGGAAAATAGCCATCAGTTTGCCTAGTAGCTGTTCATCGTCATTTTTTTATTTGTTACACTGTATCATTATTTCATACTGTACAGAAAATTCAGAAGACTTTAACTTGTTCTCACAATTTTCATCATCTGTTTCTAGGTTCTTTGCATGTTTTAAACAATTTACTTGGACATAAACTGGGAGGGTATATTTCTGTTTAATGGAATGGTACATTAGGGTCAGAATATATGCCTACTGTGCAAAGGACGGAAGTTATTTACCTGTTCTCTGCAGTAGGTGTAACTGATGTGATGCTGCCCTACCACTGCTAAAGCTAAGACTCTTTCTCCTTTTGTTTCCCCTATAGAAAGTCATTGCAAACGCCTCCCACCAAATGGTGTAAAAGTGATCGAGGATCTTGTTCGTCAATGTGGGTTTTCTTCACAGATTCATTATCTGTTCACCTCATGTTCGTCTTCATTGTGGAAAGTCTGCGTGCAGCTCTGTCCATGTCCTCCTGGCTTAAAGTCAGCTGCCTAACGAACTCCCTTATTATGAGGTGTGAGAACAAGACTAGGTGATATATTATGTCTTCATCTGCAAGCAGTAAGATGTTGCCTAATAGGGAGTTATATAAATACCAGGATAACATCTGTGAAATGTTTGTTAGATCATGGTTGGGCAAGAAGCAGCAGATGGTCATACATGAGGGGTCAACAAATCGATTAGGCAGGAACTATGCCCACATTTCTTTATGAAATTGGGAAGGCTATGAGCCTGAAACTATAAATTGTCTGCGCACTAATCTCACGACTCACATTTGAGCATAGCATAATGTGTAACTGTCTTTAAAATAATTGGTAGATTTTTTTTTTTTTTCAATGCAGGTTGAAGTAGGGTGACCACCTTCCTGATAATGAAATGCGGGACACGCTGATCGGGGGAGGGGGGGCCAGTGTCATTACAGTTGCAGCATCTAAGAAGGATACATTAGAGGACATGTATTACCACGCACACCACGAAATGTGGCTGAAAGCATATTTTACGCCTGTTCACTGTATTGCGGCCATTAAGCTGAAATAATTTTCACACCCAGTGATGTATATATATATATATATATATTTTTTTTTTTTAAATTTTAATGACAAGTAAGGTATTGAATGTGTCTAACTATAAAACATCAAAATTGACTGCAACCGAGCTCAATGTATCAAAAGTAAAGTAGAAACTGTAAACCTTCTTTTGGCTTATTGTTGCCTGTCTATATACTCTTACCAACATACTCTTACTCAAATTTAGAGCCCAATGTTTTTTGCTTTTTTTTTTAACTTGGGTTTGGGCGAGTCGGCCCGCAAAGTTAAAAGCGTGAACAAAACGAGGACAATAAATACACAAAGACAACAGGACAGGCGCTAACTTTTCACTAAAAAATAGTTCACATCAACCCTTTCGCATTGACACAGTTTGATTTGAAAATAATTACAATAATTTATATTTCATATTTTGGCTAGCAATCTTCTCTTGCAGTACTTTTGGGGGAGGAGCACAACAGCACATGCGCGTCTATCTCCTGCAAGAACAACAGTCGCTTCCCGCAATGCTAGGGTAGTAAATAGCGCCCCATCACAATTCGCACGATTACCAGCGGCCTCCACGCTTCCCCGCGCCCCTTTGTTCGGCAGCGCCATGAGATAAATTCTGAATTTTACGACAACGTGAAATGCGGGACATTTTGAACTTTTTTGGAATATCTTGCGGGACGCAGGCCGTCAATGTGGGACAGTCCCGCGAGTCGCAGGATGGGTGGTCACCCTAGGTTGAAGCAACATTTGCGCAATAGAAGAGAGCCCATATTGTCTAAGCATATATTTTAGCTTACCTTAAAAATAAAGAAGTTTGTTTGACAACAGCTTCTCAGTAAGTTATTTATATACTTGAAGCGGTTAGGACACAACAAAGCTAAAATGTGAGATAACCATATACGTTGCCCCCATCTTGCTCGCTGGAAGTGTACTTGGGCGCGTCATAATCTGATTACGACACCTTTGTAACCCAGTTTTGATGCGCCCAAGCACACCCCAAGTGAGCAAGATGGCAGCGCCCGGAAGCCGTATTTGCAAGCTTGCATGCTGCTGGGGCCCATTCTGTGCTCCTATATTCCTGCTAAATTTGTTTTGAATATGGCGCAATAGGTTCGTGGATAAATCGATTTATATAAGTGCTATTAATGCTAAGTAGCCTATGAGCATTCCATTTCAAGAATAGTCTACCCCTGTGGCGTAGCAACCGGAAGGGCTGGGGGGGTCTTGGGCCCTGGGTACCAGACGTTCCAGTCACGTGGGCACCCGGCCCCCCGCCCGCTTTACTGGTTGGTTGCGATCTCTGGGAGTAAGGGGGAGGTTGGCTACGAAAGACATAAGGGTTCGGAAGGCCTAGTTACGCTACTGGTCAACCCATTTAATTTTCGTGTCCCGACCCAGTTAAGGTATTGTGTTTAGGCTTCTCGCTAATTGCATGTTATTAAAAGCAGGGGAAAAGTACAGCAATTGAAGACGAGACCGAATCTTACTGATGGGATCTGACTAACCGTTCGTCAATTGTTTTAGTATGTTTGTTGCATTGTTGCTGGAACAAAAGAAAGTTTTGCCAACACTACAACTCAATCAAAGGATGTCCATTAAATGTTTCCAAAGCAGACTAATTCATTTGGTGACTCGCTGGTCTAGATAAATTTAAGCACTACACACCTTGTGACAATATTTGTTAAAAAAAAAAAATGAAGTGATTGTATGTAATATCTACAAAACACTACAGAAACCATTTTTCTGTCTAACTTAGACTATGAACTTTATTATTTCATTGCATTTTTATAATTTAACCTGAAAGAGTACAACATTGTTTTAGTTTTCATTGGTGACAGTGTGGTGGTCATTCCTTTTAATGCTAGTTCAATCTTACAAATAATGCTTCAGAAATTTTAGTGCAATAAGCCAACTGCTTACTTTTTTTAATATTTGACATTACAAGCTTGTTAACTATGAAGCATTTAAGGCTTATTGAAACACTGCTCTGCCATTCTTTCTGCAATCAGTTATTTTCATTGGCACCATTTGGCCAACACTGTTCTTTTAACCGCCATATTTTTTTCCTTTTTACAAGCTCTCGGCCACGCTTAATTGTTTATATATTTTCACTAGGAGAGTATCATCCGACACGCTGTAAGAGCAATAATGAATTCTTTTTAGATTGTAAAACTGATCGAGAAAAAGCTACAAGCCTTGCTTAACGAAACGCAGGCCTACAACTTTTTAAAAATTCCCATGAGCAAGGAGGAAGGCATTCGCAGAAATCTGTAATCCTAATCTTGAGACACCTGTAAAGGCAGGATGCGTTCGGTCACAGTAGTAAACTTCTGTCAACATTTTACTATGAAACTAAAAAAAAAAAAAATTCTCATCTTTTTGTTGAAATTTTCTATTTAAAACTGAGAGGAATGGCATTTCCTGATATAAAATTTTTGTACCGCATCGTGCTTAGAAGTTGCTTCCTCGGGGCCCTTCTTCGCCGAGCAAGTCGTGTTTCGTTGGTGCCTCCGCAAAAGCAACGAGAACTAGTGCTGCCGGGGCAACCTATTTCCAACATGGCGGGGCCCCCTTTGCAGACAAGCCGTACAAGGAGAAGGACGACGACTTCCGGTTCCCGTTGTACAAGAATGTGGAGATAAACGGCATCACGGTGCGCATGAAGTGGTGCACCACGTGCCAGTTCTACCGTCCCCCCCGTTGTTCGCACTGCAGCGTCTGCAACAGCTGCATTGAGGTGGGCACTGCGCCGCGCCATACTCGTCGCAAACTATGTCCCGTCGAAACGGTGATGCAGTTTGCGACGGAATCGTCTTGACCAGTTGGACAAATTGTTGCATGCCCTTAATCTGCGGGAGTGTGAATATGCTTAAGATTTTTGCACCCTGCCATCCGCCGGGAGGTCAGTGCTGATTTGAAAAGTTGTGCAGCTAGTTTGTCTCTGCCCAACGTTCTAAATCTCGCAACTCTTCCAAGAGGTCTCAGAGTGGTGGGAGATTTAATGCGATTCCCTCGTCTTTATTGACCATAACTGTACATGTTTTGTCCGATGCTTACGGCATGGTGCCAGTGACAGTTATAGAGACATTCATTTTCCTGCATTCGCTAGCACCTGGCAAGTATACTAAGTTTCCTCGAATATTATGTGTCCTTCCTCAGGGGCAACGTGTTTCATGTGGGGAAAAGCAAGTGTTCCTTATTGTTAAACTTGTAATTGAAGCATGCAGTCATGTTAGGAAAGCTGCCCAAGTCACCACCACCTGGTGGTGACTTGAGCAGTGTTTCAATAAAGTCGACTAGCGCGGGTGGAGTGTTTTGTAACATCTTGAGCACTTGTTTGGTCAAGGGATTGGGGTTGCAGCGTACGCTTTCCATGCAGACGTTTGACCATCACTGCCCCTGGGTGAACAACTGCATTGGCCGGAGGAACTACCGCTACTTCTTTCTCTTCCTCATCTTCCTGAGCACGCACATGATATCCATCTTTGCCTTTAGCCTGGTCTACGTCCTGGACAACAGCCAGCGCCTCAACAGCCACCACTGCATCATTACGTATCCTTTACTGGCAGCTTCTCACTTGGCTGCTTGCCAAGTCTCTCGCGAAAGCGTTGTGGGTGGAAGTTTTCCTCGGCCGTCCTCTCTGCCACACTCGCCAGGTCCACGGATTGGTGGTTGGGGCTGGCTTGCACATTTCTGTCTGACTGTGACCGAGTGCGCTGCATTCTTTTGGGACCACTGGTGACGAGAGGACCCGCCAGAGATCAGTGGAACATGCTGGCACACTGGCACCATCTGTCAAGGGGCCCTGGAATTGTGTATACTGTAATTTCCGGTATATAAGTCGCAGGTTTTTGGTCAATATCCGTCTTTGCATTTTATAGACCTTTCCCAGGAACACTCAGCCCCAGGGACAAGGAAACCTTTTTCTTTCGAGCCCGCTTACTGGGTTTGAGGCTAGTCTCTTACTGGCATCCCTGCTAAAGTTTACCGAGTGGACTGTTGATTTCAGACACTGCTGGCAACTCTAAACTCACTTTTTCCCACTGTTTTTTTTTAATGGTGCGTGTATTTTTCCGGGGACATTGAGAAAGCATATTGCCGCATTTGCAACAAAAAGCAAACTAAACTATTTTTCTTGTGTACACGCAAGACGGAACAAATGCGACTGGAATGTTTGTTTTATTTTATGACAAGTTTTGATGGCGCTGCCCGCTTAGCCGTGTCAACCAACGAAGTGCTTAGCTGTCGAAAATGACAACAGAATATAGTCGAAAGGTATGCATATTTCACGGCCACAAATAATGTTTTTATCGAAGTGTCATGTCAAGATTGGGACATAAACTTTAGCGAGCGTTAACATTCAAGCAATATATTGTACATAACGTAGCACACGGTGCAGCGATATCAAAAAAGGAATTAATTGAGAAAGATCTCATATAACATGGCACCACAGTGTCGGCGACAGTCACATCTTGACGATCAGGAAGAATCCAAGAGGACCTCGTTTTGGGGAGAGCTTCCTCTTCACAACACCAGCAGCAAAGCAAACGAATGGACACGACTGATTTGTGCACCACGCCAACCCGAAAAGCTATTTTTGGTGATGACTGAGAAGGACTCTATGCAGATTATCTCCGGGAGAAAGAAGAAGAGTCGTCATTGTTTGCAAAATCATGCCAAGGGCCGTTTGACAGTTGGGGGTCTTTCGACGTTCTTTCCTTCCTTAGTTTCCCATGAATGTCAGCAGAAACACTTAAATGGCGGGCACTTTCACAGTGGAAGAGGACACAAAAAGGATACACAGTATGCACAAGGAAAATAATGTGGAAGCTTCCAGGAGAGACTGAAAGACTGCAAAACATTGGTGGAGAATCTTGCCGAGCAGGTTTCAACAGTCGAAGAGAGTTCCAGAAAATTTTTTGCTGACAGGGGGTGTGAGTCGCACCAGCTGCATCATCATCAGTAACATGGCGGCGGTTTACATGCATTTTAATGAGCATAGACCTCAATTGTGCTAGTTTGCTGGGGGGTTATAATCTCGTCCGATTTGTTTTCAAGAATAATAAAACTGGCTCCCAATTGCCCATATATTGCGATCCAGTATATATATACATGCCTATTGAGGCAGACAATTTATATACAAACTTTTACAACAGAGCTGTTAAGGGCTAGTTTCCCCAGTATCGTGTCCGCGGGCAAACAAATGTCGACACAAAACTCCGAACAGCTACCGCCATCCATGAGTAACGGCTGCAACCAGACAACCGGCTTGCCAGTTTTCTGGGTGCCGCTGTCGCTCATAGAGGGCGGCAATCTTTCCAGCCTTTCCACTCTGGTTTTCAGCAGTGGAAAGGCTGAATTTCTCCAGGCGTCACCCTAGAAGTCATGCTCAAAGTCGTCCTAAAAGTTGTCCTTAAGGTCGTGCTAGATGTCATTCTTGAGGTCGTTCTGGACGTCGTCCTTGAGGTTGTCCGAGAGGTTGTCGTTGAGGTCGTCCTAGAAGTCATCCTAGGCGTCGTCCTCGAGGTCGTCCTCGACGTCAACTTAAAAGTCGTCCTTGAGGTCGTCTTAGACGTCCTCGAGGTCATTCAAGAAGTCGTTCTTGAGGTCATCCTAGACGTCGTCCTAGGCGTCGTCCTCTAGGCGTCATCCTCGAGGTTGTCCTAGAAGTCATCCTAGGCATTGTCTTTGAGGTCGTCAATAGATGTCGTCCTCTAGGCACCGTCCTAGACGTCGTAAAGATAACAGCTTCGCTGGTCTTCCATCTTCACGTAAAGTAAAAGGGCCCTACATTTTTTTTTTGGTGATAATGTTTGTTTATAAAGCGGTATGACTTATAAACCATAAAATATAGTAACTAGACTGAAGGTTTGACTGTATTTATGAGATCGAACCTTCACACTATTTATGAGAAATAGTCGCTCATAACTAGGATTCCAGGTTTTTGGATAAATCCGGCAAAATCCGAATAACACCTGCCGGTGTAACTTTCGTCAATTCTGATTTAACCGAACAACTCAAAATTTCGATGTTACGACAGTGAAAAAAAAACAACAGAATTACAGTATTCAACAAATAAGCTTAGTCACAGCACAGGGTTAGTGGTCCTGAGGGGAGCCCTCTTCCGTTTCCCTAACAATCTTTGTGTTACGTCTACAATGACCGACATACAGCCACTTAGTAGTTCCCGAGGCACCGCTGAGAACGCACGTAGCCTTCCGTCCCAAGGACTTTACACCTATATCCGGAGCAAGAGAAAGCGGGTGACCTGAGCTGCCGGCATGGCACGTATAGCAGCGCATGTCACATTAGCAGGTTTTCCCGTTGGTTCGTAGTAGAACAATAAAGCAATTCGTACTCAGCCACCGACTCGTTGAGTAGTTCCTCGCGCACCAAGAGCTAACCGGCCCCCAAGCATAACATTTGGACTGTTGACAAAATGGAGTTCACCGTTTATCTTGTGTAGTTCTGTTTGGGACAACGGGTCATTGTAATTTTGGGTCACGAAACAAGCGCCTGCTCTAGTTTTCAATTTGAACTTCATAGAGGAAGGTAGGGTTGTGTTTTTATAACAGCAAAAACTTTGATCATGGGAGTTAGGGGGAGTGCCAAGGATCCCATCTCACCACTCCGCTCCGCGCAGCCACAAGGGGGAGTGGTGGAACGAGACAGGAAGAAAACAAGCTTTCCAGAGACTGCGTTGGCGATTTCAGTCATTTTAAAGTAGCGACGTTTATTAAGACAACACCAGTTCACAAGTTTCGTTGGGGGCAGTCAATATCGCAGACGGCAAAAGCGTAATTGCCCAATCTAGCCGAAGAGATGTCATTTTATACTGTCGAGTTCTTAATTTAAGGCATGTTTGTGTCCCGATGATACTTTTTTTATATGAAATTTGGAAAAATTGGACACATGGCATAATTTAACTCCGAATTTCGGAGAATCGGGAATTTATCGTAAAGGAACTCTGACAAACTCCCAACTTTCAGCAAAGGACAAGCTTCGAAATATACCATCCGAATTTCACAAGAATGAACTCCGAAAACACGAAATCCTACTTGTAACATTGTCAAGAAGTATTTCAAGCGCACGGTGAAAGAATGTTGCATAAAGAATTGGGAAGTAAATGCGGATTAGAAGTGCTCTTGTACTAGCCAAGAGACGGTGGCGGCGTATTTCCTCGTCGCAAGCATTCCCGAGAGATCGGAATGCACTTGGTCGCAGTTGTATGCAAATGTGCGAACTAGCCTCGGGTGGCGTGTTTGTTAGAAGCCCTTTCTGAGGGAATGGCGTACCAGAGTGTTCTCCTTGATCCGTGTGCCTCCAGAATGGTCATCATAGTTATCTGCACCATCCTGTTCATCCCCATCTTGGGCCTCACGGGATTTCATGTAGTCCTAGTCTCCCGGGGCCGAACCACAAACGAGCAGGTGGGTGTCCTCTCGACTCTCGGGTCGAATAGTTGTTGATTTCCGATTGCCTTTCTTTGGCCTTGTTTATCTTACCAATGCCTGCTTCTGTAACCACCCCTGCAGGGACCTAGAATACTGGCTATGCAGCGTTATTTGGACGAGTTGATAGAAGTAATCTTTCCAAGCGGTCTGCGTCTATATTTTGGTGGTAGTAGTATGTTCATACTTAATTCTCGCTCTAGTCGTCACCTAACCATACCAGGGCTTGAAAACATGAAATGTTTTGTTTGGTACTGCTGCGGCACTGCTGGGATCTCATGCATTGCATTAGTTTCCCTCACTATTGCAGGTGCTTTGGGGCGCATTCTGGAGCAGACATACTTACTCGTCGGGGGATTTTCGCGAAATTCGACACACTTCCGAAGGATGTAATGCGATGTAAGATCAAAAATAATTTCGGAGGTCTTTTTACTGATCTTTCCTGTACGAGAATGTGTGTTTACTTTGGTTTGTAAAAAAGACTCTCGCAGGCCTTGCGAGAAGTATTTTCTCCAATTTCCCATATACAGTAAACTCTAGTTAATTCGACCTCGACGGGACATTGAAATTTGGTCGAATTATCCGAATGATCGAATTAAAAAAAGGACAGAAAAACGGTTAAAATTAAACTTCCTTTTAATGTCCAAAGTACTCGCGGATGGTCTGATGCCGTCTGCGCTTAAAACGCGTGTCCAAAAGCATGCTTCGGAGAGCAGCGTAACTAAATGTCACGTCCCCGGAAAATCGCGCACTACCAAAAAAAAAATTAATAAATTAATTTAAAAAAGAAATAAAACGAAAAAAGTAAGTTTTACGAGTCGACTTTGGCGCCGAGCCATTTTCCAGAGCCAAAATCGGCTCGGCGCTAAAAAAAAGGAAAAGAGAATTGGCGTTTTTTGACACGCAAGGTGGACCGCACACGATGCTACAGACTACAGAGAAGCGCTTTGAGAGGAGCGCGCGCTGAGAAAGCTTCGAGCAGACTTTGGCGTCGAGGGGCCAGACCATAGGCGACAAAGAAAAACTACTAGAACAACAACAAAAAAAAGAAAAGAACTTACGCTTTTCCGTGCGCAAGATGGAGCGTACACCATGCTACAGAAAAACGCTTTGAGAGCGCGCGCTGGCTCGTGCGTGCTCGACCACGTGATAGCATTTCGCTTTGCTATAGTCCATTTCAAGTTCATCTCAGCGGCGTAGAAGAGCAGGCGCATATTTGCGCACGTTTGGCTTTGCAGCAAAGTGCCTGTGTTTTGTCGTACGTTGGTGGTTTTTCTGCCGTGGTGCCGTGCAATGTGAGCCCACGCACATTCGCTCGGGACGAATTATCCGATGCGGAGTCTTCCAGAGTTTAAACTATCAAACTTTTCCTCCCATAGAAATGTTTGCGCGCTGGCCGGGACTTTTGAACACGATCGAATTAAACGAAGAGTCGAATTAACCGAGGTTGAACTAACGAAAGTTTACTGTACCCTCGAAGATCTGCCCCGTGGAGCGAGAATCAAAATTTTATAAAAGCATAGTTTTATAAGAAAGCAGGGGTGAAGTTTTGGTAATTTCAGGGAGTACACGAAATGATGAGCAGTTTTAAAAGGGGCGATACGGTATTCCACACGTACGGTGTCCTTGCAGCTCGCATTTAACAATTTTTGGAAAGAAACATTGCCTGCCATAGTCTATTTCTCTTTGTGTGGGAACGAAGCCGAAGCTACAAGCACAACTGTCTGCCCCGAACAGCGCTTGCACTGCACGACCGTGCGCACTTGGCTGGGACGCCGAAGGTCCAGAGCTCACTCTTGTAACTTCTGCCACGCTTGCATTTAAAATCAAACAAAGCACTATACCAATGTGTCCCTAATCAAAAGCATGCGACAAGGTTGCTTTTGAAACGGCGTTCTCGGTTTCAGGTGGCGCTGCTTCAACAAGCAGCGAATAGACATTGTCTTAGCTTTTAATGTTTTGAGCTCACCGCACCACTTTCTTTGGTCAGGTGACTGGCAAGTTTCGGGGTGGCTACAACCCTTTCTCCAGGGGCTGCTGGAACAACATCTGCTATGCCATATGTGGACCCCAGTACCCAAGGTGGACCAGTCTCTCTCTTTTGTTTCTTTCACTTCGTTTCTCGGACGTCTCTGTGTGGGGAACTGGCTTTTCAAAGGGCAACTCTGGTCGATATTTTTTATTTGGGGTTACGACTGTTTTCAGCTGAAGTGCGTCCTTGGATTACAAGGTGTAATCTTTTTGTTCAATATTGTATGTAGTTTTAGAAATATCACGTCTCAAATTTCGGTTTCGGGCGTCTGGCAAAACCGAAACTATCTGCTAGAGGGATGGCAACACTGATCATCAGTCGTATGGCCGCGACGTGTCGTCGCAAGGGTGCTGCACTAGTGTTCCTTGACTAAAAGTTAACTCGTTGGCCGCCCGCTAAATAAAGCACAGCTGGTTGCATCTTTAAAATTGGTCTTGATGGAATATGCGGCTTCAGTTCGATGTAATATTTCGGCTGGGATCATATTTTGTGCCACTAAAGCGATGCCAGTCATTTATTTTGGTTTGGTTTTTGACCGGAGTTGCCCTTTGAGGCACGTTGCTTTCATGGGCTGATCTCTGGATCTATGGCATCAGAAAGTTTGTTGTTGCAAAAGAGTGACAACGCAATAATCTTTGCCCCATTGTCGGTACGGGTCTCGTGATGTCGTGATTGTGTAATCCCTATAGTAAGTTATAGCTATGCGGTAGGTGTCGTGTTACCTGCTCAAGTGCTTGGCATCTTAACGTTACCTATGGTTTACTCAAGGTGTTGTGTAATGTCGCTGTTACATTGTGGCGTCAGGCGATGCTGTCACATCATGTGACATCAGTGTTGCCTGACACCATAACCCCCAATGTTGCATGACATGACACCACAATGTGACACCATACATGCTGATAACATTGGGACATGCTGATAACATTGCATGACATCCAACATTACGAAACACTCTACACATTCTTAATTTTTTTTTTTTTTTTTAAATCGGGGAACACTGATAATTGTTTGCCAGTGTCTAGAACATGACCATTTTCATTTGAGAATCAGTTTTTGACAAGTCCGTCTATGAACACTTGGGAAAGGCGGCTCTTTTTCGGTCGACGCGACAACTGTACCTCGCAGGTTTTACAACTCCTCTGGCTTGTGCCGCAGCAAATGGTACACTCTATGCATTTCTGTGGGATGAGTACGAGAGATGTGTTTCCCCTTCTAAATGGGCCTAAATCTTTGCTGTGTTGACTTTTACTTTGGCAGACCTCTGCCTGCAATTTTAGGTGCTGCCCTAGTTTTCTCTGTGCATCATGATTTGTGCTTTTCTTCTCCACACATGCCATCCACTGAATGAAATTGGACTGCATCACCACTGTGTATATTTTTCTGTTCCTTTTCTCCAAATGCGTAGCTACGCTGGACGCAAGAAGAGGGTGAAGAAAGCAATAGCCACCCCTCCTTGTTCCAACGTCTTGAAGAAGAACGACAACCAGGTGAAGATTTACACGGACAACAACACGTCCAACGTGCGCAGTCCCGTGGGCAACGCCTACAACAAGGTGAGGTCGCCTGTTCCAAACGCCCGAAATTGTCTGTCACTGCCCCCACACCCACAGTATGATGGAGGCACACCGCACATGGACTGTCGCACATTTTGACAATAAGTTTGCAGTTTTTTGTGTGCATCACTTGCTACCAGCACCAGCCGTTACTGCGGTCGGAAATGTCTTACCTTTTGGTTTATCGTCTTTATTTCATTCTCCGCCTCGGTGACATGTCTATCAGTTGTTCTGTCTGGGTGTGGATGGTGTTCTTGTTTACATTATTCCAGGGGGTGCTTCGGGGGTACTGCAACGGGCGTAAGGACTTGCAGATTCAAAAAGAGGCGAGCATCTTGGTTGTTCGGAATGCTAGGAGGAGCTCTAAATGTGACAGAGTATCGCGGAGCTAAGAACTTCGGAGTTGTGGTTCAGCGAAGAAAAATGTTAGAGAATGTTTTGAGTTGTGAAATAGAATTAATTATTTTTCAGCTAGAGGTATTTATGCTTAATTTGTTTCTTGTGGAATATAGGATATATAGAATTCTGTGTTTTCCGAGTTTATTTTTTTGCAAAATTTGGAGACTGTTTTTTGGTGTTTATTTCTCACTGGAAATTGAGGATTTATCAGGGTTTATTCCTCTTAGATTTCTAATTCTCCGAAGTTTGCAGTTTGAAACTCTTGTATCAGTTTTTTAAACTAATAATGTCCGGACAACAATGTGCACTAAATTCATAAAGAAATCACTAGTGTCGAAAGATATATCTGCAGCTGCATTGACATTGGCACTCTTGCTTCTAACTGTCCAGTGACAAATCTTGAATACAAGTGTTACTATTACTTCAATAAACGTCAGTATTTTGAAATAGCCAAGCTCCTGGATGCATAAAATCTTCAGGTGCCCTTCCTATTTTATAAAATCAACAGGTTCACATCTTTCACTGAAACACATACAAACACAACCCCCCTCCCTCCCTCTGAGAAGCACAAATATTATGGTCCAAACTGGATACTGGAACAGTGACTTTTGCCCAAGTCCAGAAGTAGTACATCAGCCCATCGCATGAACAAATCTTAACAAGACAAATAAGAAACTAAAAAAAAAAAAAGAACTGAATTAGCTATTTTTTAAGACCACTAACCCTGTGCTCTGACAAACCGCATTCATAAAATAGTTTTTTTTTTCTTTTTCTTTTTTTGCTGTTAATATTGAAATGTGGTGTTTTCCGGACTTTATTGGAAAACACGGAACCCTACTTATATCCTAGGATACAAGAGGGGAAACTTATGAGTATTATTGCTCTCGCATATTATGTGACATTTGGCTTTATGAAGCTTTGAAAGAGCACAGCCTCCTCTGTGACTGGTGGAAGGAAATGGAGTGTATCTCCATTGAAGTTTTTTATGCGCCACTAAAGGAATGTTTGTGTTGAGATCAGATCAGAAAACTGCGGCCACGTGGGAAGGGAGTAACGGCAGTCTCTCTCTAAAGTTGGGATGTTACAGGCAGTGCTGACATTGGGGAAGTATGTTTGCAGTGCTCTTTTGCAGCCTCACTCAGTCCAGCCTCTTTTTAACACCTTCCTTTTGCCTCTCTCTCTCTCTTTCTCTCTCTCTCTCTCTTAAGATTTATAATATCACGCCTGTCTGATTGGACACACTGTTCCTCAGGTCAGCATTATACATTGTGATATTTGTAACCAGGAGGCTTGGCTTTTTTCTTTCTTCTGTCGATCTGTGGTTGCTGCCTGTCGTTGCACCGCTAGACGCTTGCTCGTACGCAGCTCTGTTGCAGCTTGCTGGCACTGGCTTGGTGGCACTGGCTCGGTAGTAACCTTCCCTTACGCATCTTGCCATTGGGTCTTGGGTCCTGTTGTTCAACCTTGACGCCTTCGTGGTTGTCTAAAGGAGTTCCCTGTCACTTGCTGTAGCGTCGTTGTGATGCCTGTATGCGGGTTTCACCACTGGTTTCTGGTGGATGTGGAACCACTTGCGTGAAGAGGATAATGGTCTTGGTGTTACGAGTGAGGGCGAAAATTTCTACGAAAGTGCCTTTGTGCCGTGTTTGTTCTGGGTGCATTGCTTGCATGTGTGTACAGAGCCCTACACTGTTAGCTCGAATGAGCAGCAGCCGGTTTTTTTTTTTCCTGTTTTTATTTTAGAATTGAGAGGCTGTTATGGGAACCACTAGCATGGTGTAAAGTGCTTGTCTAGAGAACCAAACTAATTGCTAAACATTGATGCTCTTTAATACCCTGTATGAGCAAGGTACAAAGCAGTGCGGAAATCTTGCTTATACTACTTGTGTTTCGCAGCGTATCTGTAGCATACTAAGGCTATCTCGAGTTGCGGTCAGCTAATTCTAGTTGTGCTTTGCAGACCTTGCAGACCAGAAGTCTGATTAAAATCTGTATAAGAGACTTTCAGTCAGCTTTTTAAATTGTGCACTGGGACTTGAAGAAATATTTTTAGTGGCGCGGGAGATTTAGCCTGTTTGGCGTAAATATGCTGGTGCAATAAGTGAGTAGTAAACAGGCGAGCACTAAATTGTCACTTGTTTTTGTTGACACATGCATTAGAGAAGGTGTCACAGCCTTGCCATTATTTGAAACTAGAATTATTCTTTTTACTGTAACACTTATGTTCCATTATTTGTTTTGAGGAGGTGCAAATGCTTCCATGGAGCTTGAATTCGAGTTCAAATTTCTAATATTGTTAAAAACATCCTTTTTTTTTTACTGCACTGCTTTGATCTTGAAGGTTGCCTGTGAAGTGGTTAGGTGGTTCCAGGCCAATTCTAAAGTCCTAATGGTTCTCGTACTGTTTTGTGTTTGAACCAGGGTGTAAGATAGACAGGTCGGGAAACGGCCCATAGAAGTCTACCGCCGTGCCGTGACCGGATTGTGTACTCGTCTGCTTGCGGGTACCCCCGATTTGCGGCAGATGGCGCTGCGGCGAGAGGAAAAAAATCTGAATCGGATTTGCATGGAACTCTATGGGGGAGTGCAGAAAATAAAATGAGAGCACAACAGTCCTCTACTGAAAATCCACGAGAAACCATCTCCGTCAGTTTAGCCGGTCGCCAAAGGTCGCCCACCCGGAGTGAAAGTTCGCGATGCTCCACATAGATGGCGCCACAGAAAAAGAGAAAACCGAGGAGACACAATCCGGTCGTTCATTTGGCTCTCGTTTCCCCACCCGTCTATCTTACACCCTGGTTTGAACACAATGTCTTCCTTTTTGTAGGTAAAACTCTCATATCAGATTTGGAGTATGTACATCTGGTTAGTGCTTTCTTAGGGGTTTTGTTTTGGTTTGGGTGGAGTTGATTGTTCAAAGAAGTGAGGGGTTCATTCACTACGAGCAGTTGGAACAAATGGTTAACCCACTTTTTTGGACCATCTGGGTTCACCACGTACAGCTGTGAAAGGAAAAGTATAAGTGTGCTATGCATCGGCGTTGAGGACATCATTGGAAAAAGGATGCGGGTGGACGAAATAAACCTTGTGGCGGAGTTTAAGGCGTTTTCGATCTCCTCCGCTGTGTGCTCTTCTTTTTACAGCAGTCCCAGGTTTTATTTAGTACCATAATAGGAAGGAGTATTTGGCCTTCATTGGGCATCCAGCCCAATGTCGAACTAGGTAAAAGAGATTGAATCGAATAGGGCTTTGTCATTCTGGGCTTCTACAATGCAACCCGTTAATAACAAAGAGCATGGGGCACTACAATTCGTTCGTTATCTCAAGTAGTTCGATATGGCAGTAATTGTGCACAGCAAACTTCCGCGACAAGTTCGTTATACTCAGTACACGTCTTCAAGGTAAACAAAACAAAAAAAAAAACAAAAAAACAAAAAAACGCATCTCCACGTTGATTGGGGCGAAGCTCTGGTGGTGCTTGTCTGCTTAGACGCTGAGCCGCAGCATGCTGAGCCTTTCGTTCGTTTTCATCCGTGTCACGCTGCGGTCAAATGCTGAAATGCGTATATAACCATGTTCCATACCACACATTCTCTTTCTGACATGGATGAAAACGAACGAAAGGCTCGGCATGCTGCGGCTCACCGTCTACGCAGACAAGCACCGCCAGAGCTTCGCCCCAATCAACATCATTCACCATGTGGATATGCGGTTGTTTTCTTTTTTCCCTACACGAGTTTAGTGAGCACGAGAGCGCGTGAGCTCACGAGCAGGAGCATTTGCACCCGACGGCGGACGGACATACGGACATGGCTAGCCTTTAAGGAGCTTCGCCCCTAAAAACTCGTGTCACTTATCGCTTATGAAATCAATTTATTGAAAACAAAAAACTATGCACAGCATGCAATTATCTTAGCTCGAGATTTCACCCTGCCGGCGTCCACTAGAACGGTATTCCCCTGCAAGAAACTGCACGAACAACTTCGAGTCCACTTCCCTCGACACTGGAGCGGTAGTGGCGAAGCACATCCACCACGTTTCGTGAAGCATCGAACGAGGTGGCTCTTAGTCTTTCGGGATCGTCGGCTTCCTCGCAGTTGATCAATCTCCAACTCTGCCGACGCGCAACTTTTTGAGGAACCGTTTCACTTCACGCTTTCGGTACCCTTGTTTAAATGCACGGACAATCCCTCAGTTGAGGGGTCGGAGCAGAGCCGTGGCATTAAGCGGCGAAAAGCATGACTCAATGTTGTTGAGGGAGACACCACAGTGATGTGCTGAGCGTTTCTCTAGGAGCAAGCAAACCTGTTCTTCGTCCCAGTCCCACAACCGCTTTTTAAACAATGTCCTCGTCATCCACGCCTTCCTATTCAAAGTGTATGGCACGGGCGGGGGGCTGTACTCTCGTAGACATCTGGGCGACTCAAACCTTCCGACGACAAGCGGGCCAAGTTTCGACGAGCGGTCTACGTTGGTCATCGGCAGTGCGGTGATGCGACTCTCGCTTGTCTTGCCGCCGTGGCAGTTCTCGTTCTGGTGCACTGAGGTCTGATTCGGACGGAGTTGCCTATACAAAGCAGTCTCGTCTGCTTCGAATATGTTGAGCGGCTCGTATCTTACCGTGATTGGTTGTCGCCTATCCGCCTCTCGACACCTTCGTCGTCCACCGCGCACTCCTCTTAAGCCGCGACTTTTTCCGACAATTGAGTACCAGTGTTCAAAACCTCCGCAGCCGCCCTGATCCTGCAACAAAGTTCTCAGTCTTGAGGACGAATGCAAAATCTCTCGCCTCGCTCCGCAACGACAGACCGGGGACTGGAAGGTTGCGTGCATGGATGTCCGAGGACCATTGGTAGAGCGCTTTCTCCACCTTGTAGTACACTTTTTCCAGATGCGCCTGCCGTCCGTGTTTGGCTGTTCGCAGGCTTCATCCTCGATAGCAGCTCTGTTTTTCGAAATTGTATTTGACACACTTTTTGGCATGTCGTGGGCGATGGCTACGTCCAACCTTCTTGCCGCAATCCACACAATGAACAGTCTTGACCTTGTCGGAAAGAGGCGGAGCTTGCCGTTGCTTTGTCATCGTCATGCGAGCTAAACAGCCAGCACACAATCAAGTGCAACCACACCGTATGGCAAACAGAATATGTAATGAAGGGCGAGATGGAGCCAGGCAAACAGGCCAGCAGGTGACGACGCGATGACGTGCCAACGGCACCTGATATAGCGGACAGAGCTGCAACGCGATAGGCCCAAGGACGAGGCCAAGGTCAAACAAGCTGTAACCGAGGGTCAAGCGGCGAAATCACCCAAGCTGAAGAGAGGGCAGTGCCATGTCTACACTGGCACTGCCCTCTCTTTGTCATCGTTCCAAGCGCATGCGTGCCTAGTTTCCTTTCCTTCCGCTCTCCCGGGTTGGTGGTCCCGTCGCGTGTGTCTACTTTCCGCTGGGTAGCAGTCCCGCCTTGCATGTCCAGTTTCCTCCGGCCCCTCGGGGCGGGTCTGTGTCGTGTGCTAAACACCTTCGCTGGTCATCCACCTTCATGGAGTGGAAGGGCTCATGATTTTTTTTCCGCACACCTGCCAAGCCAATTAAGCTGCTGAGCCAAATTAAGCATGGTGGCACGCACGTGCGAGTTATGCCTGCAAATGGGAAATGGCAGAAGTTAACTAGGGTGTAACCACGCAGCTCACACGGTCAACAAAACGGGTCGACCTCTCTTGGATATTTTGTCCGTTGAATATATTGACGTCCGCGAACATGTCAAAATGTGTGGTCTGTTTTCGGGCAGTGAAATTGTGAAAGTGGCTAGGCCTATTAACGGTCGCGTCACTTTGTGCTGAATGCCACCAATGCAAAAACTGCGTTGAGTGTCGTAGGGCGTTTTTTCTTAAGCCGAAAAGTAACACCGACGTCCCACTTCTTTTGCATCGGTGCACTTGACTAGCTTGGCAAACTATGGCCATTCCGAATTCGGTGGTCGGACAAAGCGAAGGCCCGTCCGACCGTGCATTCCTTCCGCATTTTCACTCTTGGGCCTAGCGAGCACCCATCCCCCAGTTTTCCGCAATTGTCTCCCAATTTAGAGTGGGCGCTCGCTCCGTACTTAACGGCAGTCGGGATACATCCGCACAGTCCTCGCGTCTACGGTACCGCAAAGTTGCAATCTGCGGAGGGACCCGGTAAGGCAGCCCCTCTAGTGCATCTCCCGGCACTTAGTTATTTCCCAGGCGCAAAAACTAACGGGTCACCTTTTGCCCTCCCCCTCCCCGTGTAGATGTCGCAGGGACCGGTCGAGGCGTCCGACCTCGACCTGGACACGTATGAGGCGACACAGTCCCGCGACTGTGAGCCCTCTCCACCGCTGCCGCCCCCGCACCACGGCTCCAAGACCAACTTCTTCAGCCCCACGGGCACAGGCTACCCAGGAGAGGGCACACCGCGCCAGCCGCCCCAGCAACAGCCCAACCACCTGCACAATGGCCGGAACCACCACGGCATCCCCTTGCAGGGCCTGGCGGGGCCCCGTACGCCGCCGCCCCGCAGCCTCACCAGCCCCACGGTGGGCTCGCCCACGTCCCGGCGCCACCTTCCCTCACCTGGCACGGCACACAGGGGCATCGGCTTTGTCGCGGCCGCCGTCGCGTCGGCAGCCAACGCCCGCAAGTTTGCCTCGGAGAGCGAGCTGGACCAGGCCAACGGCAACTACCCGGTGCAACCGCCGCCGCCGCACCCCGACTCGGTCAACCGGACGGTGCTCGGCGGAGGCCAGTGGCAGCGGCCGGGCTCGCGGGGCGACGTGCGGAGTTCGAACCCGGGGACGCCTGTCGCCTGCCAGGGCCCGCTGGCGCGGAGGCCGAGCGGGGGGCGCATTGCCGCTCCAGCCACAGAAGGCAGCGGAGGTGCACGCAGGTAGGGTGCCGGCGCGGAGGCCCATGTCCTTCGTGAAGGCGCTGGAGATGTCGGACTCGCTGGAGAAGGGTGCGGCGCCACCCACGGCGACGGGCCGGCACCAGCCGCCGGGGAGGCTCACCGATCCGGGGGGCACCGGAGCAACTGCAGAGCGGCGTAGCGTGTACGACATGAACTACGAGATTTCGGTCTAGTGACCGGCAAAGGCGCTTGTGACGGAGTGCGGGCATTCTGCGTCGTCCCGGACACGCGACGACAGCGGCGGCGGGAATGGGTGCTCCGTTTCTGTCGGGCGCAAATGCGGCGTAGCTGCGACTGGTGATGTTTGTGTGTCTTTGCGTGCCTGCCCCGCTTTTAATCGCCGCGTTTGACTCGGTTTTAGGCAAGTGCGCTGCGTGGCCTCTGTCGTTGGCGCGGGCAACGCGCTCGTCGTGTGGAGGCCGGATTGCTCTCTTTTTTTAGCCGCGCATTTCCGACCTTCCCGAACCTGCGTCTTTCGGTTTGCCCGGTTGATCTGTCGGGATGGAATTTGACTTCTTGATTTACGACATTTTCATTATTTATTTGCGTTACGTGCCTAACCCTGTCGAGCGGTCCGTACGAAAAGCGGTTTTGTTATTATTTTACGCGGGATGCTTGGAAACGGAGCACTACTGCTTAGCCTGCAGTTAGCGGCAGTTATTTTTTTGTGCGAGTGTACAGAGTGGCTGTCGAAGAAAGGCCGGTTTGTGGAACACTAACTCGAGGCGGTTTTCTACTTGAGATTTTCTGGGCCGTTTCTTCTACCAATGTATTTAAAACACTAATGCTGTACATACGTGTGAATAATGGGGCCGTAAACTTGACAGATCGCTGTCTTGGGATCCGGTTGGAGTCATTTCTCAGTGCTGGGTGTACCTTTTCACGTTGCTTGCATTATCAAAAGGGGAAAACCGAAGAGCTTTGTGCAATAGGTGCAGCTGTGGCAGAATCCTGCATTCTTCTGTCCCATAGTATTACTTTTAATTTGTCCAAGTGCCAATCCTAGGTGTGACATTTATCCCGACACCGTTCATCGCACTCTCCCTTTCTCTCCAGCACAGGAGGGGCTTTACGATGCTGCACGTTTGGAAATTTCATATCAGTCTGTCTATTGGCTGGCAGAGCAACAACTAACATGCGAGATCTTGTACATTAGAAACTCTGTGGGAGCATTAAGATTTGACTGACTTAATTCTGAATTTCTTCGATTTGTGTGTTTGTTCACTTGTTTGTAGATTTTTAAAATGCTTCGAAAGAGTGGCATTGTGCTGTCACCGCATAGCGAAGCGACATTGTTGCCAACTTGTACCACAAGGCTGAACTTGTTGCATCCCTTGCTAGCGGGGCTTGCAAAAAAAAAAAAGAAAGAAAAAGGTAGCAACATCTGACGGGTTTCTAGCGACGTGCTTCTTTTACTGTATGAATTGTTTGTCATTTTAGTTTGTTGCTGAATAAATTGAACTAGCCATACCTTCATGAAAATGCAGGAGCATTCTCAGGTAAGGTGTTGCCAGTGAAGCGTTTTAATGGTATCAATTGACCAAAAGTGTGAATGCGTGTGTGGTGAAGTGAAGCCCAGAACACTACGCATTGGAGCATTACATTCTTGTATATAGCTTTGTTCACCAATGCAGATTATTTGAACAACAATTGTGTCTTTTAGTTTTTGTAATGTGCACGTTATATTTTGTTCTGTAACCAGCTGTATGTCAAACTAGGTTAAGTAATTTAATTTGTTGCATCTTTTTTTCTTTAATAACTGAGAAAAAAAAAAAAAGTAGACACTGACTGTTGCTGTATTTGTGCCAGCCACTCCTTCTGATTTGTTTCATCGATAGTGAAACTATCGCTACACTCTTCTGAAAATTGTGTAAAAATATAGGAAGAAAAGTTTTACTTCGGTCTTTATGCTGCAAGTAAGAGCGTCATTTCTTCCAGGAATAAAAAAAAAACAGCAACACGCATGTTTACAACAGCCACAATGCATATATCCACTGGTACACATGCACAACTACCGCAAGCACTGTGTACTAGCCTAGAACAGTACAAGCTTTTTCATTCGCATCACACGCACCCTGTTGCTGACACATTTTACGTGCTATTTCTGGTCCACATAATTCATACTCGCCTAAATTGTGTTCTGTGGAGGTTAGCTGCTTCGAAGCAACACCACAAAATTGTCAAGACATCGTGTCTTTTTTACTCATTCTCACAACCGCAGTGTGCGCTCAAGGTTCATCTTCAAAGAGTGAGGCTCATCCAGGGCCGTTCTGGCTACACGAGATGTTTTGAAGAACGGAATGGTGGTCCCAAAATCACAAATTGTTTGCATTGCTTCGGCGGGCAAGCATATGCTCCTGCATGCATATGTTTGCGTGTGGCATCAAACAGGCACTGGAACATTGTATGTTAATAAAGAGAGCTATGATGGTGGTTATCCAGGTATTTGTTCTCTTTGTTAATAACCTACTTCGGAGCTGTAAGTAGGCCATGCACTATCCGGTTTTAGCCGAAAAACGCTGACAATCGTTCGCCGGTGACGAAAATACAAAATCGGCCAAAACCGAAAAACGCCAGTGGTTGAATGTTTTGGCCCCAATTGAAACCGATAGATACCGGTTGTTTAATGTTTCTGCCCTAGCGACGGGCTAATTTCTTTGAAACAGTTCCCCCTTGGAGGTTATCCCAAAGTGTTATCTCGTGGATCTTGCATCCTTCCAATGTCTATTCAGAGGTCGCTGTGGTTCTTGGAGGACTGCCAAAATCAGTGTGGTCTGGGGCCACTAACCTCTGAAAACGCGTCTCTTTGCCTGGGGAACAAAGATGCTTTCATCGTTACCTGTTTAGTTTTCAAGGGCGTCTGGGGCTAACGGGTTCAGTTTGATCTCGCATTCTGTCTTGGTTTCGCTGGAACTGTTCCACTTTTTAGGATGGGGCGCCGACGGGTGTACACGTTCTGGCTACCTCAAAGTCGCAAGGTGCTCTGAAAATCCTGCCACTTCCACAGTAAAACGCGGATTCTGTGCGTCTTTTCTCAAGTTTCGATATCAAAAACTAAACTAAGAAACAAGATGAACCTGTGCGACTTTTTGGCAGTTCTGAAATGGAAGTTATTGCTGTGGCTACAGAAAAACCATCCTCAACATTTGACGTGCCTATCAAGCTCTTTCAAAATAATGAACCTCAATTACTCGTGGCAGCTTTTATTCGAGTTAACTAACAATGTACAGAGCCTCCTTTTTTTTTTTCACGGGTAATTGTTGTTTTTAGCCTCGTCACGAGTTGATTAACTAAAATACACCGGTGTTTGAAAAATAAATGCTTCATCATTTGATTTTTCTTATTAATAATCACCGTAAGCAAGGACGTCGCAAACTTTTCACAACGCTGGGGTTTGTCAAGCCTGCAGACTTTTGGCAAATTCTGCCAAAGAAAGGCGTTTTAGCAGTATTGCCCATCTTCCACACAGTAAGGCCACGTGTGTCGCTGAACGAGGGCGTACGTGGCCTGATGGTTACTGTGCTTGCCTGTCGTGCGGGAAATCTGGGTTCGATTCCAGTGGGCGGAAACTGGAGAACTTTCTTGTCTGATCGAGTTATGAATGTTCGACCATGGCCTCCAAGATCCCGAAGAGCGCAAACGCTTCTCCGGCCGTCCCATTCTCGCAGAGAGGACGTAATCTGAAAAAGAGGAGCGCGTCTCTCCGCGGGGAGGCGCTCTAAACCCAGCCAACTACAGCAAGGCGCAAGGCAGTAGAGTCAAAGAAAAATTCTTATTACTTTGAGTAACTGAAACTTCTACGTACAGATTTTTGTGTATTGTGGTAGAACAGTGACCAGCTGCTCTGAGGAAGTAGAGAGAGAAGTTGTGATGCTTATATAATTTGAGATATTCATCTGGACATGTGGTGGCTAGCGCTACAAGTATGTATTTGATGTATTTGACTGCAGTCTGTAGCGCGTATAACACCAGAAAAAAAATTAGCTCCGTGCATAAAAAGTTCGGATTTCCCTAAATAGAAATAATCATGCTGCACCTTTTTTTTTTTATCTCTGCATGTTGTTTTACGTAGTTTTTTTCCCTTTAATATTTTTAATATAAAAATTTTCGCAGGTCATATTTCGGTGTTTGCTTCTACTAGAAGTACCTTTAAAGGAACCCTGCAATTATATTTCAGCGTCTACTTTTTTGCGGTTTCCACGTCTCTTGGCGTTCGGGCAAGCCAGCCAGCATGAAAAGAGTAACTATAGTCGGTTGCAAGCTAAGAAAAAACCGGAAATGCCTCTCAGAGGAAAATGTAATCCTACGCCGAGAAACGCCAGCCAATTGTTTTCATGACGTCACGATTCTGTGAACCAATCGCGATCCTTTTGAAAAAAAAAAAAAAGCTCAACATGGCTGCTGGCCTTAGCAACGCGATGCTATAGTTTCTCGTGACAATTATTCTGCTTTTTTGCACCGTGTTTTACGTGCCCGAGGTTACGCCACGAAATCTTGATGGTATCGGCTTGCGTTTGCAGCAGTTTTTGCGCGACAACGTGAGAATCCAGCGACGCTATCGCCAACGAAAATTTCGAAGCGGGCGCGAGGCTTAGCACTGCTTAGAGGTATGTTAGACAGTATCTTGGACAGAAAATGAATTGGGAAGACGGTACATTGGACATTAATTTCTTTCTTTCTTTACTAAACAGCTATTTTGTTGACAAAAACGTATTCTAACTTATTTAAATGTCCTGAATGAATTAAATAAATATTGTAGTAGTTTACAGGTTTCCTGGAGGAAGAAAAAGCAACGTTGCTAGCGAACTACTTTCTCGACGGCGGAGGCACTTCAGATGGGCGCAATGCGCTTGTGGGTGGAGCTAAAAGATTGTTCTTAGGTTGCAACCGACTATAAATATCAGTGAGTCATATTTTAACCGGACGACGGGGGAACCTCCTCCACCTACGAGTGCGACCTGCGTTGCCGAAAGCACGCAATATGTGACGTCTTTAGTCCTGGGCTTACTACTGGTCAAAGCCGCTAAAAGCTTTTTTTTTTTTTTAGTCGAGATACAAAATATAAGTGTCGCGAACCGTTTCAAATATGTATGAAAGTAGTTTTTGTTAGTGTTTTAGATCAGAAGAGAAACAAATGCAGTTTATAAAGTACAGAAACAAGAAAAGACCCGTCGACAAACCCGCCACCTAGCGGCGGAAAAAACGGCGCATACTAGAAACGGCTAGTGGGACGAGGCTCCGACGAGCGGCGAGCGTAGAAAGGTCCCGGATGTACGCGACCGGTTCCTAGCGTTCCGAAGGCTTTCGGCGCGGGCTTATCTGGCGATTTGGAGGTATAGCAGCGCGAAGTGGCTCCCGTTCTGAACTGATCTTTACCCCGTGTTTGCTGTCGTTTGCGGCCAATGAAGTGTTATGCCGAATTAGTCTTTAATCGCGCATCAAATGCAATGCGAGCCGCCCTCGTCGCCCGCTTCATACGACCTGTCCAACACGTGCTTTGTGGCGCCCTCTCGAGCCGTCGACGCGGAGTGCGGCAGCCGTGAGTGCTCGATGAGCTCACTACTCCTCCTCTAGTTCACGGCCACCCAAGCCAGGACCTACGACGTCATGAAGGAGGTTATTTTTTGCTTGTTTTTGTAATTCTAATTTGCCTATAACTTTTAAAATAAAGCGAAATTTGAGAAAAGAAAAGTTTCTTTAAGTTACTACGTTCAGTGCGCTCAGGATTGGTGCAAATTAAAAACCAGTCAAAAAGTTGTTGCAGGGCCCCTTTAAAGGGAAGATGGGGCACTTCTACATTTGAGAAAAAACGCTCGAATTGCGTTCTTTGGCCTTTAGAATAACAGATATCAAAATTATATTTCAATGCGACGCGCCGGAGAGCCACAAGAGCAATTTCAAAATAGGGCTGAAGCCCCGCCCCCCTAGCCTTGGGCAGCCAAAAGATCCGTCGATGACGTCACGGACAGCGACTGTTTTTCGCGTTTTCTCGCTCTTAACAATACTTACGCAGCAAATGGTTTGGGTATTCGGGTTCACGGGGTAAAAATACACTAGAATTCACTTCTAACTCATTTTTTCCAAGAAGCTCCGTAGCTTCCCTTTAAGCAGGAGTCGCACTGCTTACACATTATACAAAATACAGTCTGCAGATATCGGTCACCAGGATATGGTTCAAATGCCGCGTGCCAAGTGAACTCGTTGCCGTGCAGCATTCGAAGCTGAGATCGCGTGGGGACTCGCGTTTGAATTGTGTGCAGACTGTCTTTTGTGTGATGTATGAGCAGTGTGGGTGAGAAGAAACGACCACCTAACATTGATTTCGCCTTTTCCTTTTTGTTTTTGTTGTAAATTTTGTGATAACAATAGTCACTGATTCAAAAGGTTGGGCGTTATCTTGTAAACATCTAGTTTTTGGCACATGTAGCACAGACCACCGTATCCCGTTATGCACCTTGTGATGTAACTTAATTGATATGCAAACATACAATGGGATCTCAAGAAGAACAACTCTGGTTTATTTATAAATTCCAACCTTGTTCGAACCTGGTTTATTCGGTATTCCAGTCTGGTTTATTTAGATCCCAAGCCGCGTCGAGGTGGGTGGGGGAGGGGGTGGGGGAAGACAGAGAGAGGGCTTTGCAAGGTTCGACATTGTGCTTTGTCTTCGTTTCGTGATGGCCCTCTTCCAAGGTTCAACATGCAAAAAAAGAGGTATTGGATTGGCCTTCGTGGGACATCTGTGTCCTTTCTGTGATCGGGATTTAGGTGTCAAGTTCCCGGTCCTAAAAAAATAAAGTTTTGATGTTCCTTTGATAAAGTTCCTTTGCCTACAGCAAAAATTTTTAAACTATTTGAAAATACCGGATTCTTTTATGTGCCCTATTAATTTAATATGCAATACAAAGGCCAAAAACAAATGCCAAAATATTTATTATATGAGAAATCTTGGAACACACTGCAAAAGAAAAAGGGACCAAAGTTCTGCTTCACTGCATTACCGCAGACAGTTTACATCGCCTTGCACATGGACGTTCGGGCCGGGCGTAGCAGTACTGCAGAGCCTTTACACCACCTTGCACGCGAACTGAACGCAAAACGTAAAGGGGCTGGAGGGGGATTTTCTACTTTGATTCTAGTCTAATGCCGACACACCGACACGATGTCCTCGAAATCGGACAGTTGCATCGCTCTCGCTGTTCAATGAAAGATTCATTTCCTCGTCTTCTGAATGTGACGAGACGTCACAATATCTTCATTTTCGCCCCAATTTTGAGGCAAGATCGTCACTACGAACGCAGCGACCAGACGTTGACGCCACCATTTTTAAATTCCCTGCTGCCTGTGTTGGAACAATTTTGTGCCAAATTCAGAAATTTACCCGGCTTTTATTTTCCGTGAAGCGCCATCTATCCACGACAAAGATCACTAGAAACA